AAGGTGTTGCATTTATATTTTTGTTGAGTATATTTATGTGTATAATTTCTCAAGACAGCTTGAAGTGAGTTAACTTGTAAATATTTTACAGGAGGAAAAATATCTAGATATATATCGTATATCGGAATTCAGCTAAAAGATGTCTTGTTTCTTCCAACTGCACTGTTTAGTTAATCTAAAACCGGTCTTGAAGCGACAGCACGTGGTATCTGTCATGGATTTTATCAATATGTTTATCAATAACCCATTACCTATAGTGAAGAGAGAAGGAGACAATGAGCAGACAAGTCAAACAGTTATAACTGTGGCAAGATGCCGAAGCAAATGCCTCAGACATTTGTTCACAGGCTTTATTTATAGAGAGCGAGAGTCAGAAAGATAAGTGTGTGTGTGTGTGTGTGGGGGGGGGGGGGGGGGGGGGGCAAGAATGTGTGTGTGGATGAGTGGGACGAGAATGTGTGTGTGGATGAGTAAGTGAGCATGCAGAGAGGCGTAGAGCAGTGCATATTACATTCAGTTGATTGAGTCCATGATCAAGAATTAATAAACATAAATTTTTCCATAACAGTATCTGTCACTCACACTTTTATTACCTCCCGCTTGGATTACGCCAACTCTATCCTTTTTGTTGTCCCTGCTTCGGCTTTTAATCGGCTACAGGTAGTCCAAAATGCTGCTGCCAGATTCTTGACTAATACTAGCAGGTGTAATCACAGCACTCCTGGTTTTTCACGTCTGCACTGGCTACCAGTAAATTTCCCTGTCAAGTTCAAGATCCTAACTTTTGTTTTTAAGATTCTGAATGGCTTGCCCACTGTTATCTTTCTGACTTGATTAACCCCTACGTGTCAAACTGGGCTCTGTTGCTTTCTATTCCCCCTGTTAAATATAAATCGCAGGGTGAGCAGGCTTTCATGTCTGCCACCCCAACTCTCTAGAATTCACTACCCCTCTGTCAGGCAGGCTCACTCCCTCCCTCATTTTAAATATGTTTTAAAGACATAATTTTGTGACATGGCATTTTCCCATTGTTGATGTTTTCTATGTAGTGTTTTTATTGTGGCTTATGTTGTTTTCTCACTTACTAGGTTTTATCTTTGTACCTGTACAGCACTTTGGTCAGCTGTCATGCTATGTTTTTAAATGTGCTTTTGAATACACAGTACAGGCCAAAAGTTTGGACACACCTGTCTCATTCAATGTGTTGTCTTTATTTTCATGACCATTTACGCTGGTAGAGTCGCACTGAAGGCATCAATACTATGAATGAACACATGTGGACTTATGTACTTATTAACCAGCATAAAAAAGATAAAATAACTGAAAACATGTGCTCCAACATCCGCTGCCCCTCCATATCGTGAGGAGTCAGTTGAGGTGGCTCGGGCATGTGATTAGGATGCCTCCTGGACGCCTTCCCGGTGAGGTTTTCTGGGCACGTCTAACTGGGAGGAGACCTAAAGGAAAACCGAGGACACGCTAGGGGTTGTATGAACTAGTCGACTAGTCGACTTCACGGCTCTGTTGTGACTTTTTATGCCTGTCATCGACTAGTCGCTGTCACGTGATAATGACTGACAAGATGCAGTCCTCCAGCAGGTGATGAGCCCCTGCGTCGGGAGGTGGAGGCGATGCGCTGTGCCAGAGCGTCGGTACTGACACCGGCGGTAAAACGGACATTTAACCAAACTGTGACCTTTTCCCTCTTGCAATTTTACCTTCCCCTCACCCCCATCCTAATTTTAACCAGTTTGCGCATGCAAAGCTCTGATCGTTGATGCGGTCCAGACATCTGCGCCCTGAGCACCGCCAAATCAGGTGTCACCACCTCAAAAACAAATTAAACTCGCGATCATTCATGTCGGCTCATTTCCTTTCATGTTTTCTGTCTGTTATTTGTGCCTGATGCGTTTCGCTGCTGCAGAGCGAGGCTCTTCACCTGTTTTGTTCTCCGGTGACGCACCCCCAAGATTCCACTATCTCCACTCTGCTCCGGCACGAACTCCGCAGCAAAAAAGGTTTTCACATTCAAACTTCTGTTCAGGCAGCGGAGTGTTGCAAAGCAATTCCCCAGTAGGACAGCAGAGGGCGAATTGGACCATAGGATTTTATATCTATATCTTCGCAATGTAATCAGTCTCACGAGTTAACACCACAAATTAATCTAAAGGATGAATTCTTGACAGAATGCGCTGATTATTCTCGAGAATTGCTAGACATTGATCAGGCGTTATTTACGTTTTGTGAGTTTATTACAACATCAGTTAAAGCATGGACAAAAGGACCAAACACAGCTTATCTTTTCATGCATGAAAATAAGACAATTGTTAACCCAAAGCGTTATGGCAGTGATATGGAATAACTGATTTGTAATAAAGTGGAAATTTGGTGACACATAGGATTATAGTAACTATTAGGAATAATTTCTGAAAGGGGAACAAAGTGAGCGAGTGTGTGTGTGTGTGTGTGTGTGTGTGTGTGTGTGTGTGCGTGCGTGTGTGTGTGTGTGTGTGTGTGTGTGTGTGTGTGGCTCGTTATGGCAGAAGAAGAAAGGGGATCTTGAGGGCTAAATGTGAATTTGGGATCGAAATAAAACACGCCGTAAAAGAAATTGACTAATCTGAATTCACTAATCGGGCTTAGCACAAAAGTCAACCGGATGAGATGCTTCACAGACCTTTTTCCATCGCCAAAGAGGTGGCTTGTGGGCTGGTTCAGCCGGGTTCAGAAGCTTGAATGCGGCCTTCAGGGGCCGTATGACCTTTTGGCACCTCAGCTTAGGTCAACGGCGTCTGTGGTATGTAGAAGGAGGTGCTCTCCCATAGTGGCTTGACTCAAGTTTCCTTCACTTCAGCGGCCTCGAAACGTGGAATTCAGATCACAGGCCCAAATTATCCCAAACGGAGACGAATCATCAAACTGTTCCAAATTGCTTTTACTCAATGTGAGAACTTGACCGAACACTCCGACTTCCGGTTTCACGTAGGAAGTCAAAACAAAACAAACGGAGTTGCTTTTAAGTTTTACCGTAACTTTTGAGAGCTAATTACTTGACAACTGTACAGCACCGGGTTCTGCTAGGCCAGATGGAAACAGCCCGCAGGGATTTGTGCTTAGGGCATCCTTTTCTCTTTTTTCCTGCCACCACGAAGTCTGAACTCTGGTTTTATAAACTTCTTGGTCACACCCTCATGTATTTCACTCATTAGCCACTTGGTGGCACTGTGGCTCATTCAAATAACCCAGTCTTACAACCATGAGAGATTCATGCTCACAATTTTAACTAAGTTATTCCAAATAAGGTCTCAAAAAGTATTACTTTAAACAGAAAATAACTAACTTCAGGTCTTAAGCTTGACTGTATCCCTTTTAGCATGGTTTTGAACTGGTGAAACACAATGGCAGAAGTTTAACATGAAAGAAAAAACACAGCACAAGCAGTTTAGGTATGTAACTGATAAAAGTTTAAACATTTACTTGGAACACCTTGAATTTTAATGGTGAACAACCTAAAACACCTTTTGACTGTGGATAAACAGAGAAATACCAGGGGTTTGATAAAGACTAAATTCTGGAATCTTCCAGAATGACCCTTGAGACGTTTTACGAGCACCCGGCCTTGGGCAGAGTCAGTTCTTGGCAGGTTGCGGTAAGACAGACCAAGTCCTGATGAAGTCCGGCTTCTCGATTGCTTAAGGAGGGAAAACAAGTCACTTGGTAAAATTTACGTTCCTGGGAGGAAATGTAGGAGTTAACCAGATGTTCGAAAATGGTATCTTGGAGTTTATACGATTGTAGGCCAGTTTCAAATTCTCCCTTTTTTCTGCTAAGTGTGAAAGAAACCTTTGTGTGAAAATGTTATTGTTATTCTCCGTGTAAATCCAAACAAAGCCTGAGGATATAAAATGTGGATTTCCGCTACAATATAGAATCATCACATCTTTTTGATTATAAGTACAGAGTACAGAGAGCTGGGGGAGCGATTTGTGGCATGGTGTGGAAACAATCATCTGACCTTGAATGTGAACAAAACAAAGGAGATTATTTTAGACTTCAGAAGAAACATGGGAGAAGAAGTGGAGGTGGTTGAGGAATACAAATACCTTGGAGTTCACCTGGACAACAGACTGGACTGGAGAAAGAACAGCCAAGCCGTTTACAAGAAGGGACACAGCAGACTGCACTTCTTGAGGACGCTTAGGTCCTTCAATGTCTGTAGCAAGATGCTGCAGATCTTCTACAAGTCTGTTGTTGAGAGTGTAATCTCTTCAGCTATCGTCTGTTGGGGTAGCAGCATCAGAAGCAGGGACCTGAAAAGGCTCAACAGCCTAATAACAAAGGCTGGTTCTGTTCTGGGGACGACTGTGGAACCACTGGAGGAGATAATGCAAAGAAGGATTCTCCAGAGAATCAAGAAAATTATGGACAACCCGGAGCATTCTCTTCACAAGACTGTCCGGCAACAGAAGAGTGTCTTCAGTCAGAGACTTCTTCAGTTTCGCTGCAACACTGACCGCTACTGGAGATCCCTCCTGCCAACAGCCATCGTAATATACAACAACTCTTTGATGACTTGATTATTATTATTATTCTGAGCTACTACAGCAATCAATTTCCCTCTGGGATTAATAAAGTATTTTTCAATAGAATTGAATTTGAATAATTATATATATATATATATATATATATATATATATATATATATATATATATATATAATTTATGTTTTGTATCTTTTTTTGTTATTAGGTCTATAAATATGTTCTTTTACGCAGTAACGGACATGATTTAAAATGTAACAAAGAACATCACTTTTAAAATCAAACTCAAGGAAAGGTACAGGAAGTACACACTTAAAAAACTACAAATACACCAAAAAACCCACTCAATTACAGTAACGTGAGTACATGTAATTCGTTATTTCCACGTCTGCTACCATCTGAACGAATGTCTCCTAACTTTACTGAAACCAAGAGGAGTAACTGATGTTTGTTCTGCAGGATGTCCACAGGAGCAGGAGGAGGAGGTAGGAGGAGGTGGTCCTGTCCTGACAGCATTGTGTGATCACCTGGGTCTGCAGGTGAAGCTGTGTTTGGATTCCACTCAGGGTTAAATAAACCATGGCTTCTCATATCAGACATTCTGTTTCATCTCCAGGATGTGGATGTTCTGCTCAGGACGGTGGCCCCAGACCTGGACCAGGCAGGTGTCCTCAGTGAGGTCCAAAAGGTTCTCTGTAGCTATGCCCCCAAATCAAACTCCACCCCCATACGATCAGCTAACCTGCAGAGGACGCCACTTAGGGTAAGACTGTTAAACTGTTTCAATCATCAGGTAAACACTCACTCTTCTCTTTAAATAAACACAGCCCATTGGTCAGAGAGATCCCACCTCCTAATGCATCACACACTGGCCCAATCCCAATACTCGCACCGTACCTTATGGTCTTCAGTGAAGTGCCTTCAGAAGAAGTTTGCAGTAAATCTTCTAAATATAGTACATAAGTGTGCAAATAATTGCTGAATTGGAATTGTGGGGCTTGCGTCATTGACTACAACACACATCCGTCTCTGTTTGTGCTACTTCATAAAAAATCTTTAACAACTTTCAAACGAACAAACAATTTCTTCACAAAATTTCCATTCATTGCTGTTCACAATAAATCTTAATCTAAAACATCCAGAGCATGAAGAAATATCATTGATCTTCTTAAAATGAAAATACTTGAGCCATTGTTCCACCTTCTTTTCTAAATCCCCACGCAGCAATGGATTGTGTCTAGGAATGCACCAAGATGAAATTTTTGGGCAGGTACCCATATCCGATTTTGATATTGCTGTTATGGCCGATAACCAATATTTGAAGATACCAATATAAATATACATGCTGACAGAAATCAGTAGATTTGGTATAGATTGAATACACTTGGTGGAGTGTAGTAAAATACATTTTTAATCATGACCAATAAGATGTGATGATTCCATATAAATATGAAATATCAATCTGATTGATCTTTGAATGTTTAATCCGAAGATTCTAGGGTTCTTTACTTATTCAGGGGCCATAAACGCACTTCATATTAATTCAGACAGAGTCAGTTCATAGTTTATAAAATGAATTTAATTATTTTTCCTAAACTAATGATACATGACAAGATATGAATAATGAGATGTGGTGTGGTGGATGTGAGGTGTTGTGATGGAAGCTAGATGTTGTAGCAATCATTGTTTGCATCTGAGAGAAATTGTGAAATCTGGGTGTAAAAGAATTTGTTATTTGTTATAAACTAGAGAGTTAGTTATTGATAAAAACCTCATCAGACTCCAGTATGCAGGCTTACGATACCCTTGTATGAGTTGCTCCCGGTGGTCCGGAGGTTTGCGGTCATAGTGGTGAGGTCACTGGACGTCGAAACCACAATACTCAGAGATTAGTAGCTTCCTCTGAGTTCAGCTTCCCCGGCCATGAGATGCAACCCGGGGTCTGCTGGTTAGGTGTCCAAGGTGGATGTCTGAGAGTTGAAGTAGCTCTGAAAAGAGCTCTTGTGTCTGTAATCACTTGCAGTGTCGCAGAAAGGTTTTCACTTAAGGTCAAAGGAGATGGTTTCAAAAGAGGCTTCTTTCCCGATTTGGCCGAATCAGGGTCAGCTGGAAACTGAATTAATCGGGAAGTAAATCCTGTTTTAATAAACTCATTATTTATAATTCCTGGCATATTCTGAAAAATCAGAATGTGCCATGTCTGGAAGGCTTTACCAAAACATTCCTCAGAAAGCCACGCCTTCTTGCAGATACGAAGATGTTTTTAACACTGTGAATGAGAAACTCCTATGTGAGGTGCATATTAACCCCAATATGTATCCCACCATAATGTGTATGAGTGTAGATAATGATTAACTTGTTAAATCAACATAGTGATTTGTGATATAAATGGATCATTGTAAGAACAATAGAGCTCCGGACCC